CCCACATACAGTCAAACTTCAAGATTTTTGGTCAACATTCTCAATTTAAAGTATTATTCATCATTTTATCAAGGGTTGATCATGATTCATCAAGGATTGCTCACAATTCATCAAAACCCAAAAGTTGCTAAATTAGGGTTTTGTAGGAAAAGTCAACTCAACTTTGACCAAGCATAATTTTCTCATACTTTATCAAGAATGACCCATCCAAAGCTCATTTTGAAGAGGATGAAATTATCTACAATCCATATTCATCTCCAAAGATTAAAATATGCACTCACAAGAAGTTATGAATTTGGACATTATAGGTCATTTTGAAAAGTCAACAAAAACACCTTTTTTGTCAAAGCTTTATACATGAACATGGAAGACTCAATTGAGATGAGACCAAAAGGGTTGCTTAGAGGATATCTCAAGCTTTATAAAAAGTCCAAGAACACCTTAAAAGAGTCAAAATTGAAGAAGCTATGCATTGGTGAAGTTGACCTTTTTTGCAAAATTGCCAAAAGTCAAAAGTGCCTCAAATTGCAATTTTTGTCAAATGGGCCTAACTTTTTGCACTTGTTTTGAGTTTGTAACATGATCCACGAGCCCTAGCTCTTTCCACTTTCCTTTATTTTATTTTTTCTATTTATTTTGATTTTTTATTTCAATTAAATCAAATTAAATCAAAACAAATCATGGAAATATCAAAAGCATTTAAGTCTTAAGATTTGATGCATGTTTCAGGTCCCTTATACAACCAGCAAGTGAATCAAATCGTGTAAGGCATGGTTGTGCATAAAAAGATTGGTTCTGGCCTATTTTTGGAAAGATTTTCATGAAGATCAAATCATGATCAAAGACCATAATTGCCAAAGATTGAGAACATATTTGCAACCCTAATTCGTTCCTTGGTATGTAGTGGACAAAGGCAGATCAAAAGCACAAGGTTTTGAGGCGTGTAGAGGAAGAACAAAACTTGAAAAAACTCAAGAAAAGTGGTGATCCAATTTGATACTTCCAAGCATTTTCAAGACTCCCAAGCCTTCTCATTCGCTTCCTGGACACTCAAGGAAGCCATAGCAATCAAGAGCAAGCGTTCTCGTGCCCAGAATCCAGTTCCACGACCCCCACGGTTTGCCCTTATTTCCAAAATCGAATCTCTTCATTCTTGCATCTTTATCATGTTTCAATAGCATATTTATAATCCCTAACGTGTTTGCAAGCTCATGGTGACAATTAATTGCATTTTTGTTGGCTATATTGAAATCCACCATTGCTAGGTTTTGTTGTTGCATTTTGGGATCTTTTTATACAGGCAAAATTGGTCCACAAGAAGGGCACCGTGATGCCCAGCAGGCCAAGACGAATTGGTCCACGATATTAGAATTCATTTATCGTGCTTGTATGTGATTTTGAAATATGCAGGAATTATAGCGACGAACATTTGTCCGTAGGTAAAAGTCTCTGACTTTTACCAACGGAGAAGGAAGAAGAAGACCTGCGTGGCACCATCCCATTCGCTTGTTTGAAATCTGGCGCGTGTTTGGTAGCTAGCTTTGCTTTATTCATTTTATTATTTTTGTTTCGTATATTAACAAATGGAATCAAATGGCCCAGTGGTAGCCAAGGGGACGCTAAGGCATTGCAGGCATGAGGTCAGGGGTTCGACCCCTGCCTCCACACATTTGCAATTTTTCTTAAATATTCTTTACAGATCCCATATCCCACACAGGCGTAAAGACCATCATGCGCCCTCAGGATTCAACCATTGGATCTCTAGAAGGCTAAATCTGAAGGCCATCATTGAAGGACCATGATGCACCCAGGTCAATGCACAGCATGGAAGCATAGAAGTCAAACGTGGGTCAGAATTCTTGGGCCATCATTGAAGGACCATGATGCACCCAGGTCAATGCACAGCATGGAAGCATAGAAGTCAAACGTGGGTCAGAATTCTTGGGCCCAGAAGCTTGCTAGTGGCACCCCTCAATTACTTGCAAACAGACCCATTTTCTTCTTTTCTTTTATATTTTCTTTATTTAATTTATTTAAATTATTTTTACTAACACAAAAATTAATCCTTTTTTTATCAAAAAATCATAAAATCAATTTCTCATCAAATTAGATTTAAGTTTTATTTTTTAATTAAAAATTAATTTAATTAGTTTATTTAACTTTAGGGTAACTTTAATTCTTTTTTATACATAAATTAAAATCAATTAGAAAAATTAGGGTTTTGTTTAATTTAATTTTTATTCTATTTTCTCAAAATCATAAAAATACAAAATAGGTCAAATGTAATTAATTTTCCTGATTTAAAATTAATTAGTAATTAGGTTTGTATTTAATTTAAAACCTTATTCTTTTTTCTTAAAATAATAAAAAACAACAAAAAAATAATTTTTCTTTTAATTAGGTTAGACGGGGTCAAAACTCTAATTTCCTTTCGTTCTCTATTCGTCGCGCGTTTATTTATTTTTGTAATATTGATGTAACTGCTCACGGGATGTAATAGATTAATTAGGACTTTTTCGTTTATTTATCGTTTTGCGGGTTTTTTTGGCTATGTAATTAATCCCGAAGCCTTGTAATAGCGTAGTTTTACTTTCCGCATTTTAATTCTCGCAAATATTAACTGTTAGATGTATGATAATAGGGTTGCATGACAAAGATTGTATGTAAATTTTAAAATGGTTAGCAAACCCTAAATGTGCAAAGATAACAACTTGAAATTGAATCACCCGCACATGTGCACTTCTAGGGTATTCTCCCACTTCGGTTGCCTTCGGTAAACGGTCATTAAGTATAGGGTATTTTAGTGGTCACCCTCATGTCTAACCAAAGATCAAAAGTCCCGTTCGAAAATGTTGCCTCGGAAAGGTTGCCTCGGAAATATCGCCTCGAATATTGATCTTAAGACATTAGGGTTATTACTAAGACGTCCTAACATTGCTTTAGTGATCGTACGTCCCTTTCGAATTGACCCTTAAAACTCCAACGACGGTGCTACCTACTCACTAATACTGGGATAGCGCTGTCTAAAGGAAACAAGAATAGAAACATTCTCTTTTTCGAGTAGGTAGATGCTAGTAGGTACTTGCTCAAAACGAACTTTTTTACACCATACACTTTCAAACAAATTTTTCAAACAAAGTTTTCAAAACGACTTCGTAACACTCTTGACGACAGAAGCAAGGGTTAAATCGAAGTAAAACAAAAACTTTCTTTTTCAAATCACACACAAGCAATTTTGAAAAATGATGAGCAAGTACTTAAGAGCCCGTAGAAAACTACGAATAGAAAGGGTGCTAATACCTTCTCTTTCTATAATCTACCCCGTACTCAAAATCTTGAAAAAAGAAATTTTTCTGTGTTTTTTTCCTTTCCAGTTAGATAAAATAAAAGTCGGTGGCGACTCTTACTTACCGCGATATTTTACGAACAAAAAATACAAAATACAAACCAGTATAAAACAGTCTAGTTCTGCCACCGTATCACATATTGTAATTATATAAACCATATTGATTGTTTTAGTTACTTAATTCATCTACTTTCACCTTTGTATATCAATTGAATGTTGTGTGTATTTCGTCAAAAAAAAAAAAAAAATTGTACGCACGTTTTTACATATGTATTTTGATGCATAAAATTTTCAAAATTTTCGCATGAAATACATTATCCGTGAATTTTTTCGCCGATAACTAATAAAAGAAATAAACTTTTCCTTTTTTAATTTTTCGTGTTTTTATTGAATTTTTAGTTATAACTCTGGATTTTCTTAGTTGTTTCTTTTTAAGAAACTTTTGTAGAAGTAATTTTTAAAAATAAAAAAATTATAACATTGAGTAAAATAAATTATAAGAAGGGTATTATTAATATTATCAAAGTACATAGGGATGCTAAATTCTCTTATAGGAGTGCTTGAAAGATTTCTCATTTTGACGTCATAGATGATATGTATTCATATATTTTATTTTATTTATCAAATGTATCTATATATTCAAATATCAATACAACATCTGTTTTAAAATAAGTATTTTTTAAATAATTTTTTTTTAAAATAATAAGTTTTTACTTTTTTAATATAATATTAATTAATTTTTATCAATTTTATCTCTAATAAACATTATTTATACTCTTTTTATATTATAATAATGTATAATAATCAATAATATTTAAAAATAATTTTATAAAAATATTATTTTTATTAATTCAATTATTATTTTTCTTAATAATTCACCTTTTTTTTTTCTGGATTAACGACACAAATAGTATTTGTTACGATCTTATCTATCTATGCAATTAATAGCTTTTTTCCATCTCTCACACGCTGTATCCTTAATAAACTAGAAACCCTATCTTTATACAACCCTACCCTTTTTATTTCTGTGTATCCCTTCCCTTTGAACATCGACGTAGTACAATTTTAATATAAGGTACTTCTTGTTTTATTCTCTCTAACTTTGCCTACGTATATGATCATATTTTATTGTTTAATTTGATTCTATTTTTTTTATCATCCTTCATCGTCATATATATATATAGGATATTACTTAATTCATTAGTTTTATTTTCCAATTAACATCTATATCACACATTGCTTGCGACATGTAAATATGGCAGAATATAACTTGGGTTCAGTTGGTAAAACTCAATTCAGATCTAACAATGATCTGACCTCAAATCCCGAATTTGATGTCATGATCTTGTTACCGAGGCCGTCCCTTTGTAATTATGCTTATAAAAGAGACGAATAGTCCTGTTAAGTTAGTTCAGTTGATAGCTGTTCAGAGACATTCCGATAGGACTACGGGTTAGAATCCATAACATCTCGATAGCGGCGCAGTTTGTTGTCTGTTTGTCAGATATTTCTGTATTATCTTGCTTATATATTAATATAGCAACTCGTCACTAATTTCATGTAAACTATTTATTCATTCCAATGACATTTTCTTTTGCTGCTGCGAAAATGCTTACCAGTGTTTCACAGGTTGTAAATTGTAACTAGAGAAAAAATGGTAAAGAAGATCTGTGGAATTGGAGCTGGATATGTAGGGGGTCCAACGATGGCGGTTATAGCCCTCAAATGTCCTTCGATTGAGGTAGCTGTTGTTGACATCTCTCACCCCAGGATATCAGCTTGGAACAGCGACAAACTCCCGATCTACGAACCCGGCTTAGAACAAATTATACAACAATGTAGAGGAAAGAATCTCCTCTTCAGTACTGATGTAGAAAAACATGTTTTTGAGGCTGATATAATCTTTGTTAATGTTAACACGCCAACGAAAACAGGAGGCCGTGGAGCTGGCAAAGCTGCAGATTTAACTTATTGGGAAAGTGCGGCGAGGATGATAGCCGACGTTTCAAGATCAAACAAGATTGTTGTCGAGAAATCAACTGTTCCGGTTAGAACAGCTGAAGTGATTGAGAAAATTCTAGTTCACAATAGCAATGGCAAGGTCGAGTATCAAATTTTGTCAAATCCTGAATTTCTTTCCGAAGGAACTTCTATTCAGGATCTTCTAAATCCTGATAGGGTTCTAATCGGAGGAAACGATAGTCTTAAAGGTCAAGAAGCAATTCAAAAACTGAAAGCTATATATGCTAACTGGGTGCCTGAAGACAGAATTATAACTACAAATGTTTGGTCTGCTGAACTCTCTAAGTTAGCTGATAATGCTTTTTTGGCTCAAAGGATTTCATCTATTAATGCTATGTCGGCTTTATGCGAGTCTACAGGTGCAGATATTTCACAGCTTTCTTGTGTCTTAAGTAAAAACACTAAACTTGGTTCTAGATACTTAAATGCTAGTGTTGGTTTTGGTGGTTCTTGTTTTCAAAAAGATATACTTAACTTGGTTTATATATGCGAGTGTAATGGACTCGTCGAAGTCGCTAATTATTGGAAAGAGGTGATTAAGGTGAATGACTATCAAAAGAGTAGGTTTGTGAAAAAAGTTATCACATCTATGTTTAATACAGTTTCAGGTAAGAAGGTTGCTGTTTTAGGATTTTCCTTTAAGAAAGATACTAGTGATACTAGGAAAACTCCTGCAATCGATGTTTGCAAAGGTCTTTTGGGGGATAATGCTTGTTTGAGCATTTATGATCCGCGGGTTAGTGAAGAACAGATTCGAAGAGATTTGTCTATGAATGAGATTCCATGGGACAATTCAGTCATGGTTGAGGCAATGAGGTTCGATGGTACGAAACAGGTTAGTGTGTATGAGGATGTTTACGAGGCAACTAAAAATGCTCATGGGATATGTGTTCTTACAGAATGGGATGAGTTCAAGGAAATTGATTATCAAAGAGTGTTTGATAGTATGGAGAAACCAGCATTTGTTTTTGATGGTAGAAATGTTTTGGATGTTCATAAGTTGAGGGAGATTGGGTTTATTGTATACTCAATTGGGAAGCCATTGAAGCAGTGGCAGAGTTACTAGCTTGTGTGTTTTGTTGAAATAAAAATGGCATTGCTTTGAGGTTATATATATAATGTATGAGACTACTAAGGTCATTCTTATGTTTCATTGAGAGTGAAAGTTCATATCTAAATGAATAAATACTTATATTGATGAAAATTTTGATTCCAATTGAATATGTTACTAATAGTTAGGGGTGTTCAAAACCAAACCAATTTAATAGAAAATTGTAAACTAAATCAAATCGAAACCGTAAAAAATCGTATTTGATTTGAATTTATTTGGATTATCTTTTAACAAAACCGTATGATTCGGTTCGATTTGCAGTTTGTATTTTGTAAATCGAACAAAACTGAATCAAACTACATTATGTTACAACTTAAATTTTACTTAACTTACATACAACTCAAACCTAAACCTATTATACTTTACTCTTATGATTACAAACAACTTTCTCATTTTTACATTTATGATTTCAATTTCAGTCTTTTCAAATCTCTCCTAAGCACCATCTTTGCCACATACATTTGACCTCTTCTTCTTTAATCTTTACTCTCTTATATTTTTTCTTTTTCACCTTCTCATTTTTATGTAAATGTTCATTCTTTCAATTTCGTTTTTATCACACATCTTCTTCTCTAATCTCTCCTCTCTCATATTCTTTCTTTTTCGTGTTCACTAATCTCTCATCTCTTCTATTTTTTTGTTTCATTATAATATTTTTATATTGTTTTATACTATTATTTTATGTTTATTATTCTATTTTTTTTTAATTTAATTTTTACATATTTTTGATATTGTTGTCTAAATATGATGAGTTTTGTTGTTATTTGATAGTGTATGAATGATTAAATATAAAGTTATGTTGTCATCTATATGTATATGTACGACTCAATAAAATATTTGTAAAAAACTGAATCAACCGAACGGAATCAAACCGCATTGGTTTGATTTAGTTCGATTTTTTTTTTAAAAGTCAACTGAACCAAACCAAACTGTATGTCTTTTTCTCTTGTAATTCAGATGATTTTTAACGTCAAAACCGTTCAAATCCCACCGTAAATATCCTTATTGCCAGTTGTTTGCACCTTTTAGTTTGGTTGTATACTGTGTTCATGTTCATTATGCATTTCACATCTTCTTAAAGACACAATGGAAATTCAGGTGAATCATTGACAGCCAAATAAAAGTTAAATGAGAATACATGGTCAATAGATCTATCTCTCCATGATTGTATTTATTACAAGGTTTGGTTTGGGAACTGAGTTATAAATCCAATATTAAATGCAAAGGGACTATTGAGTAATATAAATAATAGGATTCATATGTCTAAGGTTTGATTTGAGGTGGTTTTGTTTTTTGAAATTTTAAAAATTAAAATTAAATTTTTATATTAAGTTATAAAATTTTCAAAAACCAAAAACTAATATAACTTTTAGTTATGAAAGCTTCAGAAATTAAAGTCACTTGCAAACATAAATATAGAAATAAATATCATGATAAATATTCTTATTTTAAGTAATTTATGTCATTAAATTTGTAAAGTAATTTTGTATTTGCTAAAGTACGGTAGGGAGTTGTTATCAAAATAGTGAGTGAGGGTAGGATAATTTAAATGGGTAACTCAGACCTTTTCAAACGACTAAATCAATGTTGGTGATTAAGAATACTTCACCCGCTTAAGTCTTCTTTCTACACTATAATAGTGATTAAAAACGGTTATTATTAACTGATGTATGTCAAAGTGGTGATTGTGGATCATATGACAGCCAAAATGGTGAAGAATCTATTTTTAGTGAAAAGTTATTTTGAAATTAAATAAAAATCCAAATCAACTCTATATTTAGTGAGCATGTTTTGCTTTCGAAATTAGCTTTCAAACCCAAAAACTCATAATCACTCCGAATATGCGCTAAACTTTTAAGACTTTGGTTAAAAAATTGATATCTATTAAATTATACTAGTTTATTATTTTTGCTTTTGTTACTTTTGGAGGATGGCAAGACAAATTCTCTTTATTTATGGGTTAATGATTTCATTCTAATCTTTTTTATCTTGGTTGTACATTCATGAGTAAGTTAAGGGTGTCCCACATTTCTTTAACAAATTCATAGTGAAAATACAAAAAAAAAAGTCATCAATACCGAGAACGGTAGTAGCAATAGATTCGCCCTAATAGATTTCTCTTTCAAATTGTGATGTACCTTTTCTTTATACTCTTCGACCCAAATTTCTTTAATTATGTTTTTCACAACACCATTAATAAGATTTGAGGGAACAAAAAAGCTATTTTTTATAGAGTTTCAAATGTTAATTCTCTGTTTTTGTGATTGACATTAATTTTGGTAAAACTAATTTGTCAGCAACATGATGAACAAGATGTTTCAACTTGCAGTTTTAACACGTTGAATGCGATGTCCTAACTAGAAGAGTAAGACATCTGGTCTGTTACAGTTTTTACAGTTTGGATACAATTGATTTAAATTACTGAATATTAAGTAATCCTATGTTGCGTCCAAGATTGAGGAATCAAAGATTGTGTTGGTATTCAAGTTATTCAATTTTCTAATGCTGAGACATTTTAGGAATGATGAACATTTTAGGAAACCCTTGATTGAAGACTTATTTTTTATGAAGAATTTTAGCAGACTCCTTGCTGCATTTTTTAAGTCCAATCCAGTCCAGATGTGTGTTTTAAATAGATTGTCCCTAACCTAATTTTAGTGTGGAACTTACGTTGTATTTTGTTAGGATTTGTGTGTGTTAATTGTGAGTCTCTCTAATATCATCTTGATATAGGAGTAGGAATGTTCTTTTGAATCATAAGTTATGACAATCATTCTTAAGCTTTTAAGTATTGAATGATTGTGTGTCTTTGAAGTGTGACTCCTGTTATTTTTTAAGTGTTTAGAGTTGTTCAATCTCTGTTGTGATTGAAAGGAACTTGAGAAGGGTCTCATACCTAGGTGAGTCTTAAGTAGAAGTTAAGCATGCGTAGTGATTAAGTGAGTAGATTGTAAACTGGTGAGAGTTTGATGTCAGTCTATAAATTGATACTATCTAGTTAACTTCGTTCCTGGTTTGGTAGCCCCCAGAATAGGTGGTGTTGTACACCAAACTGGGTTAATAATTTCGTGTGTTCCTTTATTTTTCTGCACTATTTAATTGTTATACCTTGTCATATTGTGTTTTGTTCAAAGATCAGTGTCTCGGTATATCTTATGACATCTGAGATCTGAATACCATAATTTTAATTGGTATAAGAGCAGGCGTCCTGATATGTATCTGGGTGAGATTCAGGGAAGATACTTTCTGGTACAATGAACAAGGAAGGAGGATTTATGAACATACCACTCATTCTTGATGAAACAAATTATGATTATTGGAAAGCTCGCATGATGGCTTTTATTAGATCCATGGACAACAAGGCTTGAAAATTTGTTGCCAAAGGATGGGATCAACCAATGGTTAAAGATAAGGATGGGAAGATTACCGACGTTCTAAAGGCTAAGGAAGAATGGAATCATGAAGATGATAAATTACCTAAGGGAAACTCCAAAGCATTGAATTCCCTGTTCAATGGAATGGACAATAACATCTTCAAACTGATAAGGAATTGTACTGTTGTTAAAGAAGCTTGGGAGATTTTGAAGACTGTTTATGAAAGAACTTCTAAGGTGAAGATGTCAAGACTTCAACTTCTAACTATCAAGTTTGAGAACTTAAGAATGAAGGAGGATGATAGTATTCATGACTTTCACACGAATATTATTAAGATAACAAATGCCTCAAGTGCCCCGAGGGAGAAGATGTCAGAAGCTAAGCTGGTGAGAAAAATTCTCAGATCTCTCCCAAAGAGATTTGACTGAAGGTGACTGCCATTGAAGAAGCCCAAGATATAAATAGCACGAAGGTTGATGAGCTTATGGGATCTCTGCAGAACTTTGAATTAGGGATCAATGAAAGGTCTGAAAAGAAGAAAAGCATTGCATTTGTCTCCAACACTGAAGACTTAGAAGATGAATGTGGTCTGGATACAAATGAAGGAATATTTGATGCTATTGTGTTACTTGGAAGATAATTCAACAAATTAATGAAGAATATGGACTGGAAGTCAAGAGAAAATGTCAAGAACAAATCATTCGACATCAAAGAAAATTAGGACTTTGAAAGAAGATCCAGAACTGATGACAAATCCAGCCAAGGAAGAAGAGTTCAATGTCATGAATGTGAAGGGTTTGAACATATAAGAGCTGAGTGTCTCACTTATCTCAAGAAGTAGAAGAAAGTCATGTTTGTGTCATGGTCAGAGGAAGATTATGAAAGTGGTCATGAAGAGGAATCTGCCAAGCAAGGGTCTGCCTTAATTGGAATTTGTGACTCTGATGAAGAACCAAATAGTGGAGAACTTACTTTGAGAAACATGCTGCTTACAAAGAGTTGTGTTTCAGAAGTAAAAAGTGTGTCAATTGGAAGAAGATCAAAAGAGAGATATTTCTCAACTATATGATGAGAAAGAAGAGCATTTATCCATCATATCTGATCTGAAGGAGGAGGTTGCATTGCTAAATTCAAAACTTAACAATAAGACTAAATCTGTAAGAATGTTAAATAATGGCTCTACTGTTCTGGATGATATCTTTCTAACTGGGTAGAATGTTGGAAATGTTAAAGGTCTTGGTTATGACAATCAAGTTGTGAAGAACAAAGGAGAAAGGCCCGGAGTGAAGTTTGTACCTCCAAAGAAGAAACACGGGAAGAAGATGTCGAATCACATGTCTCAACATCAGCAGAGACATCAGAAGAAGAAAAATGGAGGTAGGAATCAACAATGGAGATGTCATTATTGTGGAAGGTTTGGTCATTTAAAATCCGTATGCTACAGAGTGCATGGTTATCCCAAACCTGTTACACATCATAGAAGAAAACAGACTGATGCTAAAGCAAAGTCTAAGAGGCTTCCCAAAAATGACACTTGTAGTCTCATAGGTCACACCTCACTCAGAGCTTCTTCCAAAGAA